AAACCCCCCCCCCCCCCCCGATTTCTTGTCCTCTTCTTCCTTCCCATCCCTTCATTCCCATATTCGTTTTAATTTTTCAGTTGGAAAATTTCAAGCTTAGGCCTACCCGGGCTTGTAACCTGTCCACTCAATACTGCTAAGTATAGCTCGAAAACAACTTTAGTGTTGCTAATCATTACCAAAATCGGGAAAAATGAAGCTTTGTGCAAATTTCTCCGCTAGTATCCGCGATTCTTAAAGAGAAAACAGTTTCTTGGTTATTATCTTCTTTGATAATATCTGTAACAACGCCATAGAGACTGATGCCAGTCATCTTTTTACGAAGGTCGACCACAAATGTCTGCAAAACTTCACCCAAGTAATAAAGTTAAGTAATCGACCATAAAATGCACAAGACAAACTTTAAGCAGAGTACATAGATGGTGACTAAAATATTAATAATAAAAGAGAAAAGCTAATAACAAATTTTATTTCCCAATACATCCTTTTATTACTGGACAAAATTATGTAGGTTCCACCTAATTATTGAGTCACACAAATTTCACGCATGAAAAAGTAACAAAAGTGTGTTCCTAAGCTTAAGAGAATAAGATAATCAAAACACCGGTAATTGGCTGGCTTCCAACATAAATAAAGTAAAATAACGTGCAAGATAGCTATTGAGATCAAGAACAAAAGAAAATAAGGAAAAAACTATCCTTTAATTTTTATTTGGAGGGGTGGTAGATGGTAAACTCACCCGAATAGGATAATTACTGAAATCAATGGTGCCCTGAGAATCACGGGGCAGGCTCACTTGAGAAAACTTGAGACCTTGACTGGGATTGTAGGAACCCAAGGGCCGTGAACCATGACGGCGATTTGGTGTCAATGTTACGCACACCTAGTCGACAAAGCTGTTTAATAATACTTTCTTCATATGACAATGACTATTGTTTATGTCAATTCGGAAAATTTATAAATCACCTGTTCTTCATGTTGAATATAAGGCACCAAATATAATTGTGTTTCACTTCCATATTCAAGGCAAAACTCTTCACTCGTTTCAATATCACAGTCCGCTGAACTTGCAACGTATGGTTTGTCCAGTGCAAGCATACTTCCCACTCTGTATACCCCCCAAAAGTGAATGTTATTCATGCAAGAAAAGTATTCAGCTCGAAAAGTCTGACCGCATCGAGTACTCACCTGAAAAGATTGCCAAGGATAGTCTGCTCTCCCCACAAGAAAAATTTTAATGTGACTCCATCACCATCAACAAGAGTAATCTGTTTTCTTTGTAAGCATCCAGAGTTCCCTTGAATTTCCCCAGATTCAATCTTCTCAATTCTATAATCAATATAAGAAAATAGAAGGGTCACGTGCAAGAGGAAAAAAGTTGACTATTTAGGTCTATGGACTACACATTAATGAACTAGTAAATACTTTAAAACTCGTAGCTATACTTCTGCATATTTGTACAAACAGTAAAATTAAGCATGAAATTTTACTATCACGCAATGCTCCGTAAATTCACAATATGCTCACAACAAAGTCAAGTGGTTTTTACCTGGCATAAAGCGAATATGAAGCCCCTCCATTCACTGCATCAAGAGAAATTGAAGAGAAAGAGTCTGAACAAAATTGAGCTCCTAGTAGCATTGCGTCATCATCCTGATTCTACGGTTAAGAAGAAAACGAAAGGATTATAATCATGAAAACTTGATCTGAATCTCATCTTTTAGGTGTAGCACAAAGACCAAAAGGTAGAATCTAAAGAAGCACAGAATTTGTTCCGAACTTGAACTACTTGTTATATGAAACTACAATGATCAAATCTAATGACCACTAATATACATATTGATAAAGTATTTGACCGTTACCTCATCCAATATAATCACAAGATACTCTGTTGGCAAGAGACGTGGATGTCCAGAACCTTGAGTGGCAGCCCGGAGGTAGCAACCTGTGAGGAAAATCTCCCTCCCTCGCTTCAGAATTCCATTCTGAAGGCCTGCCAAGTCATAGAATCTGCTGGGCAAAATATGATATGTTTAATATAAAATGAAATTGCAATTTGCAAATAAGAGAATGCTAAGTTTTCATTGCAAATTACTAGCCACGTGTTCAATACATGCATGTGTGAATATTTGACAAAGAAAATGTAAATCATTCGAAAATTAAAATGCATTACAAGAAAAGTTGATTCGATAAACAATGGAAAAGAGAGAATATCTTCTTAAACTTAATTCACTATTGGATTGTCTCCCGAGTAATTTGAACAAATAATGCACTCAAATATAAGATAAACAAGCAACGTGTAGTGAACTACAAATAAAAACCAGTTGACAGTGCAAGTATAGAGTAAAAACTTTATTCTATTATGCATCAAACTACAAAATTAAGTTTGATCCTGATTGGCTTAATAGTTAATATTGCATACTGCAATTACCTGCGGTGTAGGTAGATATCTATGATATTGGAGCTCCAATAATCTCCTAGTGTCAGCATGTAGATGTTTGTGCCTGCAAATAATAAGCATCAATCGTTACAAAATCAAACTTAAAAAAGATACAACCACCAAGCCTAAAAACCTGAAACCTATATTCAGGGGAAAATGCTTCAATTCCAAAGTACCTGGGAGCACAAATGCATCGATAATAACAGCTTCTAGAACACCGTTCAAGGACAGGAAATTCTTCTTGTATATGGAATCAATGGTAACAGTGTTCGGAAGCTTCGTCCTCCGGTGATTCTTCTTGAGTTGGTCAATCAATTCGAGCCTCTTCTTCGGAGCACCGACCCTACGCTGTTCACTCCATGCCTTCAAAACAAAATGAACGATAACAAATGCAGTCAAATACAGCTGAGACCTAAATAAACTCAATACCACGCTAGAGTAACGATTAAACTCACATTTAGAACAGTAATCGCTACATAGCCTATCTAATTCCATAACTGATGAACGAAACCGACTACGAATCCCTAATTAATGCATTTCGTAGTGCGTGCACTGAGGAAATTGCATCGGAAACAAACACGAAATGGAGGAGCGAAGGTGAATTACCTGAGAGAGTTCAGAGAGCAAGATCGCGGAAGTGACGCCACTTGAATAAGCAATGCAAGTCTTGAGAACACGAGACACGATCCAACTCCATCCAAATCCAGTGGAACCTTCGTCGTCTCCGTTTGGATCGCTTTCCAGTGATAATATCTCCGATCTTGCGTAATCCACGAATTTGAGGAAAGGATCTTCTTCTTCTTCTTGATCTTCTTGGCAACGGTCTAAGTCCATGGCGGAATCTCCCTTTGTATCGAAGCCATAATCGCGATGCTCCATTTTCGATTGGGTGAGTTTTCAAATGCAGGACATGAAGATGAGAAGTCTTTCTGCGTATTTGCGGATTGGGTATATGGCGGCTTTGGCGCGGTTTTCAATTAAAATGTTTCTCCTTTTGTAATTTTTGGCGGGTAATTGTGGGCTGGGCCACCTACAACTTTAGGGCCCAAATATCATAGGGGCAGTTCGGCCTTATTTTTTGTAAGCAATATTTTGATCAAAAAGTAAACAACTGAACAAGGAACATTCATAATGAGCTTTTACGCTTCGGCCTTCACTCCTATATGATAATTACTGAGTTTTTTTTTTTTTTTCAACAAAGAAGAGAGTAACTTTTTTTATTCATGAAATAAGGGAGAAAAATTTTATGAGTACATTACTTATAGATATAAATGTATAATTGATGAAATTTAAAAATAAAAAACATTGTTTGAAAAAAAAATTCGGTTACTATATTAATGTACATTATCTAATGAATTTACGGATAACTAATCTTTCTATAAAATTAAAAAGTAAAAAAAAAATAAAAAGTTTAGCCATCTTTAGTGCTTCTATCAATTCTATCTTCTTTTTCACCCATAAGATTTAAATGCAAAATCTTAGTTAAAAAATACAAACTTAATACCGCTTGGACAAATTATGTGTTATTTGAATAACATTTTTAAACTTTTACTTGATTTGATTTTTACATAATAATATATACTATTAATAAAGAAGACTATTTTATTTCATATATATATATATATATATATATATATATATATATATATATATATATTATGAACAATTTTGTTCATATAACTCTCAAACTACACTTTTTTTTATCTTTTAAAAACTACCTTTTCATTTACAACTTTCAAAACATATTATTATTATTATTATTATTATTATTATTATTATTATTATCTCTTAAAAATAAAGAACGAACTTGATTTCTCTGTGGTACATATGCACATGTAATCTGTATACTCTTTCTCTATAACCCTGATATCAATTTCTCTCTCTTTGGCACATGCATAAGCTATAATATTGACAACTGATTTTTCTTATAAATTAGTAAGATTACTTTTTTGTGTGCAATTTTTTTTTTTTAAATCTCATTTTCTTTCCCAAATAAATCCAAGAGTTCCCTGCGTCCACAATTTTAACTATTAATCGATAGTAAAAGTTCTACCACGTGAGTTCAATCAAAACACCACTATTCAAACACGACAGATGCTAGCGTGAGGAGTTTGACATGTCCTCCATCGTGCAAGAGTAATGTGGACGGTTGTATATGTAAATTAAAAGTTCCTTAGTCACAATTTCAATTGCACCACTTAGTAGATAATGTTTAACTCTATATTTTTAACAAAAATTTCACATGCAGAAGTCTATAATTTGCATTAGCGTTGAAAAATTAATTATATAAAAATAGTGACTACACTTCGACAAGTTTACCTGACATAGTAATATCATTTATTTTTTCAATATTTAAAATAAAAAATTATATCAACGATTAAATTTAATTTTTTCAAAGATGTATTGACATTGATATATCTCGTTATTTATGAATATATATTCAAAAATTATCTCTTACATTTAAATTAAATAAAATATTCTTTAATATTTTAATAATAAATATTTACATATTTAGCTGGAAAATATTGAATGAGAGAAAATTTTAAAAAAGTAAATCTTGTTTGGTTCAACTTTTAGAAAAAGAGAATAGGAATATTAGCAAACCAAAATATTTTTTTCTAATTTTAACTCCCTTCAATATTAGGAATTTGGAAGGAAAGAGAGAAATTTAAAATCAATTTTAGTATGATATCAAAAATATTCTTACTTATATTATTAATTTTAAAATTATAAATATATCAAGATAATTATTAAAATAACAAATAAACTTAAAATTATAAATGATATATAAGCATTATATTTATTAAATGTTAAAATATTTTTATTTCTTGTAATTTTATTTATTTTACCTTTTAGTTCTCATAGTTTAAAATAATTATTTTTAATTTATATACTTATATTTTTAAATCATTTTTATTTTTATAATTTAATATAAATTTTTTTAGTCATTACATTTACAATTTTTTTTTTTAAAATAGCCTTTAACATTAATTTTTTTGTAATGTTATCTTTTTTATATTGACATTAATTCAACTTTATGTATTTAATGTCTAATTTATTTTATTAAAATTATTTTAGATTAGGTTTTTGTTATTTTGCATTTTTTTTATATTCTTATGACACTCACGGTCAAAATATAATTTTTTTAATTTTGTAAAATTAAAGATCTCTATCATATTAATACATAATAGACAACATTTTAAAAAAAGTATTAATAAGTATTCAAAAATTTTAAAATTGTAATTGTAAGGATTAAAAAAAAAACTATCTTAAACTATAAGATTAAAAATACTGAAAAATATAAATATAGAGACTAAAAAAATATATTATAAACTATAAAAATTAAAATGTAAAGTAAGTGAAACTGTATTAACTATAAAATATTTTAATCTTTATTAAATATAATAAATAATACTTTATCATAATTCATTAACTTATTTAGATATTCAATATTAAATATTTTATTAATAATATCAATTAAATAATACTTTAATCTTATAAAATAAAGTTGTTAGTTTAGTAAATTTAAGTCCGTTAAGAATAGTGATAAAATGGCATTATATTTCATTAAATTTAATAGGGCCAAAATTTTATTTTTTTTTAATTCTATCTCAGATTTCGAACTTCAAAATTTATTATATGTTGTATAATATAAATATCATTTCTTATTTCTAATCGGTAACTTATCTTATGATAAAAAATTGTTAATATTTAAATAGTTTGCTTTCTAAAAAATAATCCGTCCAAATTAAAGATTAATTTAGTAAATTTAATTTCGTTCAAAATAGTGATAAATACTTTATTATATTTAATCTTGTGATATAAAATTGTTAATATTAGAATTTTTTTTTTCCAAAAAAGGTTGTCCAAATTAGGGTTAACTTAATAAATTTAACTCTGTTCAAAATGGGGATAACAAGGCTTTATATTTATTATATTTAATAGGTCAATTTTTTTTATTTCTATTTCAAATTTCAAAATTTTATTATATGTTATACAATGTAATTTTTAACTGCAGTTAGCATTTTTTTTTATCAAATATCATCTCATTTTCCTTTGATTGTGATGAATTATTTATCTAAAAAATTAAGATCTTTCAACCATTATTCAATATATTATCAAAAGATAAGTTCTTAAAGAGTAATGTATTTGTATTTATTAAGAAAAAAATTATTTTAGTTAAAAAATGAAAGATGGTGTAATACTTAAATCTTTTAGAAAATATTAACATAAATGATGTTTTGATAGTAGTTTTTTTTATAATAAAAATGAATAAAACTTTAACAAAAAAATTTAAAAATAGATAAAGTATCATATATATCAGAAGAGAAAAATGCATTTTTTTTAACATAAGATAAAAAATAATAGAATATTTGTATTTATGGAAAGAGTAATATTTATGAGAGAATACTATTGACATAAAGTATGTTAATATCTCAATTGTTTAAATAAATTTATAAATATTTTTTATGTAAAATAAATTTATTTATTTTAATATTCTCGTTATTTAAATTTAGCAGTATATAATTTTCATGTTAAGGTTCTGTCTTATTGAGTTTCATTATTATTCCTTCTGTTATGGGTCATATAGATCATTAATTATAAATATTTTACTAACGTAATTATTTTAAATTTAATTTAAATTAACTTGAAAATCATGCAACGTTTAAACTAGTTTATCAAAAATTTAATAGATATCAGCTTATGAAATAAGCTTAGATTTATATGCAAATATTTATCGGTAAAAAAATATTAAAGAAGTGCTAATTGAATTTCTTTATTATACATATTTATTATATGGTATATCTAAATTAATAAGAGCTAAAATTATACTTTTAATTTTAATTTTTTGTTCACAATTCATAAATTCATTTTAATATTCTCTCTCATATTTTTGTTTTTTTTTTGTTTTAAATTTAATTTAATTATTTTTTTTTACAACACTGAATTTGTATAATATTTATAATTAATAATTACTCTTTCCGTTTCTTTATATAAAAAATAAATAACTAATTTATTAAAACAAATAAAAGTATTTAAGATGGTTAGTTTTCTTTATTAATGTCATATAATTAAATTTCATTCTAAAATGTTCGTTAAATTGATTAATTTAAATAAACTTTTTTTTACTAATTAGTCACACTTATATTGATAATATATCAGTAAAAAATTTAGTAATTAATATACTTGATTCTTATAATTAAAACCAAAAAAAATATACTCATTTTGTTTCTTATATAAAAAATTCGAAGAAGTATTTTAATATTTTAAATCTAAATTTTATTAAATATTTATTATTAAAATATAAGCAATATCTTATTTAGTTAATAAAATGTAAGCAATAATTTTTATATATGTATATTCATAAATAACAAGATATATCACAGTTAATACATCCTTAAAAAAAATCAAAGTTAATACATCAATATAAATTTTTTATTTTGAATTTTTAAAAAAATAAAAGATAGTATTATTCTGTGAGGTAAACTTTTCGGAGTCTGATCACTATTTTAATTTATTTAATTTTCTAATGCTACAGCAAGTGAACACTTCCGGTTGTGTTCTCACTACTCGTGGATTTTCTTTTAAAGAATATGGAGCTAAATTTCATTTTTGTGCGGCCGGTGCTATTAAAATCGTAATAGTAAAATTTTGATCTGCACTTTCGAAGGGCCAATATTTATTTCACACCATGGGAGATATGCCATGTTACTCACACTAGCATCTGTATTCAAACACATTTTCCAAGATAAAACCTGGTGAAAAGTTGTTTATAATGTCAAAAAATCTAAACAACGATTCGTATGGTTCATTCCTGTTAGATATTTGCTATCATGTTTGAGTTCAAAGACGTACATAATTTAATTAATACAATTCTAAAAAAAATTGTTGGAGAACAATCCAAAATTTCAATTTAAAATCTTTAGAGCATGTTTAGATAAAA